CAAAAAAATGGGAGGCCCCCGCCTTCCTCCCCCCCATTCCAATTCCCCCCCCCCCCCGCCCCACCCCGCCCCTTCATCCCCAGTACCTCTGTAATCGTGGAGTCTGGCTGGAGACTTGGTTGCGCACCCTTGTCTTGTGGCTCAAGCTAGGTTCACTAGGTCTTTGGTGTTTTCAAACTCGTGGCCATTTGCTGCCTACATACCTAGCCACTGCCCTGGAAGCACAGTTTAGATACAACCTCAACATGGATTAGGAAGCTCTTCCTATTTGATAGACTGCCTGTTAAGGTTTAAGCGTTGCAAATTCAATTCCCTTCCCGTCAATTTCTTTGTTCATCTCGATTATTATTGTTGTTTTTTTTCTGTGACTTTTTCTGTCAATTTTCTTTCTTGTTTTTTCTTATTTGGAATTCTTGTGCTTTTTCTGCAGAGTTCCACGTGCATCTTGCAGATTACAATACTTGACGTCAACGACAATAACCCGGTATTTAATGCCTCATTGCCAGCCGAGTTCTTGGTGTTGGAAGGTTTAGCTGATGAATTTGTGGGCCAAGTCATGGTAAGCAGTTTTTGGTTTCTTCCAAAGCAGATGACGTGATGTAATTTGTCTTGCATTGCGTACTTGTCGCATCACTGCTGAACGGTGCCATCACTGTCCCTTCATTAACATACATGTACTAGCCCCCCTTCATTAACATACTAACCCCCGTTCATTAACATACTAACCCCCGTTCATTAACATACTAACCCCCGTTCATTAACATACTAACCCCCTTCATTAACATACTAACCCCCGTTCATTAACTTACAAATCCCCTTTCATTAACATACTAAACCAGGCAGAGTCTGGGGCTGTTTGAATGGGCTCAAAGCCTTGAATATTTGCTGAAACCACTGCAGACAGACGTAGGGCTAACAATTGTGATTGCACCTTCAAACTTATGTCGGACTTTGTCTTGGTGAAAAATTACCCGCTAGGAGCACTGTAAACTATTGGCCAAGCTCAATCAGCAACCATTTATCAACAACTGGTTGATTCTTCCTGGTAATCAGTGTGCAAAATATATCCAGGGTACCAGGTAAAATTGACCAATGGTTGACTGTCACTGATCCAACTTGGCCGTTAATGTAATAATAATAATAATGCACTTATATTGCGCCCTTTCCACTAAAAGTGTTCAAAAGCGCATTACAAAGATAAAATTGCTCGACTAAAATCACAGTTAACAATTATTACTGTTCACAATCAATAAGTGACTAAAAACTGACATACAAAATTTTAAAAACTATACAACTGAATATCACCATACCTAAAAAAGCCCCTCTAAGACACAAACAACTCAAATAGACCGTAAATAAACATACCTTTAAAGAAAAGCTTGCCTTAACAAATGTGTTTTGAGCTTAGTTTTAAATGACGTCATACAATCCGCACCCCTAACATCTGCAGGAAGCATATTCCACAGCTGTGGTACAGCCCCCCCAAAAAGTGGCATGCCCCCTAGTTACCTACGTAGTTTTCATGCTCATATTATCTAGATCCAGTGGTTTTTAAAATACTCATCCAGAGTGTCTTGAGTATCTTATGACTTTGAAGACCAAGAAACTCAAACTTATATTTGAGTAGTGTAATTGGGTGACCAGAATGAGAAGCCACTATACTGTGGTGGCACAGTGGTCCTGGACAGGTGCAGTAGGGGTTCTGCTTTGCCAAATGCACGCACGTGCCAAGTGTGGTGCCACCGCAGTTATGGCGTCTCCTCAAATTCTATCGAGGGTTTTCACATGATGTAACATGACAGTCAGGGGCACTCCAGGAAATGTACCATGTCAGTGGAGGCGGGTGCATTTTTGAATCTTTGTATTTCTATTGGCAGTTTCATGTACACTACAATGTTTGGAGACTTCAAAGGGGCACATGTTTCTGCAAACATTGTAAATTGAACACTCACCATTAAAATCGCATGACTGAAATTCCTCTGTAAAAGTGTTTGCCTTTTTCTTCTTCAAAATTCAGGCCAGTGACATGGATGAACCAGACACTCCCAACTCCAATGTCCAGTACAGTCTGGTATCAGACGCATTCCGTATCGACCCAGACAATGGCATGATCTTTACAGTAGGTGCCTTGGATAGGGAACAGCAGGATCGCTATGTGCTAGACGTTGTGGCTACGGACCAGGCAGCATCTCCGCGCAGCACCACACTGCAAGTTGTGGTGGTAGTGGAAGACGTGAACGACAACAGCCCCGTGTTCGAACCCAAGGAGTACTCTGTCAACGTGATGGAGAACCTGCTCGCTCAGGACTTTCTGGTCCTGCAGGTGAGGTGTCCTGTACAGATTCAGGTGAAGGCTTTTGATCGAGGGGGAAACGCTGGATTCTTTGAGATGGGCAAAAATGTAGGAGGAGTGTTGAGGAATTCTCCAGGGTCACTGTGTATCTCTGCTGGTCTCTGACCTTGAAACTAAAACCATAGCACTTTTATTCAAGAATCAACATAATGTATACAGATCCCAGTCTGAAGAAAATTGGTAATAGACACACCACAGAATACATACATCCAAATTTCGTTTGAATGTGCACATGCAGACAATGACATGGCATGCTGGTGTGAAAGCAGTGCGGCTGAGCGTGGTTGCATGATGGAAATAATTTCGATGTTGGTCACTCACAAGTTTTATGTTGCAGAGAACTTGGAAATGGTGTTTTATCGCTTGCTGCTGATCAAGTATTGGCTTAATTGAGACACAGCTAAGGCGAACAAAGGGGTTGAACTTTGATAGCACATCCTGCTGGGTGCCTTAGCCAATCAGAAAGAAGTGATCATGGCAACTAGTCACCATCCAGCCAATCAGCTGTGCAGGCTGCACATGGGTGTCCAGACAAGCCACATGTACATTCTTGGATACAGAAGCTTGTCTTTTTTGTGGGGGAGGGGGAATTCCTTCAGTTTTTTTGGGGGGGGGGATAGATGAATGGACTTTTTTTCGTAGTTATTATAAAGTCATAAAGTTTTAGTGTGGTTCACTCAAAGTCCACACTCATTTCATCTCAGCTCAATTTTATTCGCTGCTGCCCTCAGGCCCTTGACCGTGATGCGGCAGCTGTTCTTGAGTACCTTATCACCTCAGGGGATACTCAAACCTTCACCATCGTTCCGGAGACTGGAAGCCTCTCCCTCCTGAAGACACTGGACTACGAGGCAATGCAGACCTACACCTTAGAGGTTACGGCGCGAGACACGGAAAACGCCTCAGCAGCAAATGCCACAGCTACCGTGACAGTCAATGTTCTGGTGAGTTGTAGTTGTCAGTAGATCCTAAACTCAAGTCACAAAGCTACAAGAAAGCCATCTGGCATGATCTTGGGAATCAATCATATAGTCCACTGCCCTCATCACAGGTTTTCTTGTCGCATACAAAAAGGCATTAGGATTTCAAGCTGTTGGTATCGTTGGTGATATTTACTCCCTTGCAGAATCTTATGTTTCACATTTAAGCATCAATGTCATTTACAGTGCATAAGTCATGAGGGTGAAGTATATCTTACGCTGCCTATTAGCGTAAGTGTGAACAAACTCCATGGGAGAAAAGTCTCCCTCTTTACTCCCTCGCGTTCACCATTGTTTATGGTTTTTCTTCTTCAGGATGAGAATGACCACGACCCCGTTTTTACCATGACCAGCTACGAGGGCGCCGTTCTCAGGACAGCCGACTTGGGGACCGTGGCTGCGAGTGGCATCAGAGCAGTGGATGGAGATCTAGCTGTAAGTGGAAGCGGAGGGAGCGTGCACTGTGTGGCCCTTCAGCATTGTAGAATGCATTGTCTCAGCCCCCCCCCTCTGCCTGGGTCTCCTTGTGCCCAAATTGACCAATGCAGTCATGGCTAATTGGTTGCCATGTTTCAGACAAATGGGAAGCAAGGCCTTACTCAAGCAGTGGCTTATCCAGTACAGGGCAGGGGTGCAAGTTGCCTCTCCTCACGCCCTCCCCCCCAAAAAAGACACCTTGCCAATTTTTGGAGAGTAAAAGCATTCGAGAAATGGTACTACTATCGGGGGGGTATGAGGATTCTTTTGCCGATGAAAGCCATTTTTAGAAATTCCTGCTCCCTGCCCAAGACTCAGATACATCACTTGCTTGTTGTATCATTGACTGCCAGCAGGTTAAAACGCCGTACATTGCAGACAAATCATTGTTGTGGGTGTTGGAAATTGTGGAAGGTTAATTTACTGTATCAAATACCCACCTCCTGGTCTAGTCTTTTATTTTGAAAGAGAAGAGATACTTGATTGGTTGGTTGGTTGGTTGGTTGGTTGGTCGGTCGGTCGGTCGGTCGGTTGGTTGGTCGGTTGGTCAGTCGGTCACTCACATGACTACTTAGACAGAAACTTTAATCCAGTAGCCATAGGCACCAGTTAGCCTTTGGTGAGGCAGGTTTGTGCAGCTTTGCATGTAACTTTGTGCCTTCTATCTCTGCGACTCAGGTTAGAATCCCCACCCAGGCTGATATGTAGATTTCGTTCTTGGCCCCCTACATGTACCTAATTCTGAAGTAGTTCTCCCCCCCCCCGCACCTCAGAGTTGTCTTCCCCCTTGGGGTCCTAGGGAGAAGGGTGCCTAGTGAATGATATCGCTGTCCTGGTTGGTCAAGTGTACACCTCTTTCAACCATTCATGTTTTCTTGTCTTCATTTATCAGGACACGGCCAACGGTCAGGTGTTCTATAATTTGATGCCAGCCAGTGTTTATTTCACCATTCTGGACCCAAGTGAAGGAGTGGTGGTAACCAAGACGAGCCTTCAGAATGCTCCCGACGTGAACAATGTAAGATTTGCCTAAATCAACATAAATTATATTCTTCAGTAGAATTTTAAATGCTGTTCCCTTTTAATTGTCTTGCGGCCTTCAAGTTCGGTACTGTTTTTCCACAAGCCCTAGGGGTGAGGGAAAACATTGGTCCAACATTTGTTACCTACATATTGGTTTTATGAATCTTCCAGTAATGGGCAATGTTGTTGGAGGAAAGACTTGCCAGAAATATGTAGCTTTTCAGCCAAGAATAACAAAATGTCAAGTGACAGACAGTTTAGGAGTTTCTTACACAATGTCAGGTGTTGGGAGGCATTTGATCTAATGCTGTGCTTTAGCGAGTGGTAAGGTTGTTTTCTGCTTTTTTTTTTTTTTTTTGTAACAGTTGACCGTTGTTGCCTATGACAATGGGAATCCATCCCGGAGTCAGACTGCGTCCCTCATCATCCGAGTCCGAATGGAGAGGCCTGTCTTCCCACAGTCTGTCTACATGTAAGCACCCTTTGAAACCCTTCCTCTTTTACTGATTGGCTTACTTGGGAGTCAGGTTGGTGTAGCTGGCTCTTTCCCTCACCTGTGACCCAGGTTCGAATCCCACCTAAGTCTGCACGTGGATTTTTTTTTTTTTTTCAGTCCTAGCCTGATTCCGTGGGGTTTTCCGGGGGTTTTCCTCCCACCTCTAAAATTGAATGTTCCGTCACTGTCTTCTTCAAGTAATTGCCTCTTCATGCTGTGATTGGTACTAAATGCACTGTCGGATGCAGAGAAATAAATAAATACTCACGTATGCAGTTTACTTGATATGAATTCTTGCTGTTTCAGCCCACAAGAAGCTCCATTGTTTTGTTGGCAGAAGGACAGAATTATTTGATTATACATGAGAGAGTGATAAACCCAACTTCCATATCTTTTAATACTGTCGTTCACACAAACCGCTAACCAGACTAGACCTGTAACACAACGACATTAACGCTTTGTTTACACGTGCGCTTTCCTGTGGCAGTGTCCCCAGTGTCAATCATGACCCCATAGGAAAGTGCATATGTAAACAAAGCGTGACGTCATAATGTTTGAGGACTATTTATTTAAGTTACAAGCTTCAGTGCCTTTACACAACGCAAGTGAGCCACTTTGATTGACATTGCATGCAGTTATTTGAGGGCTTTACATTCATCCTACATTTGCTTATGGCTCAAACGTTCCCTCTTCAGCAACCAGATTTAAAGATTACCAAACTTTGTTTACTAAAGTGACAAAAAAATCGTATTTTTGTGCAAATCAGAACATAATATGCTATGTGAGAGCGAAATTCAATATAATTTTATTGAATGAATTTTTTTATTTAACCCACTTAGGAGCTTGAGTATTGTAAGCTTTTAATATTCATTGAAGTTTTAGCATTGATTTTTTTGATTGAAATATCTGGGGGTTTTTTTTCTTAGGGTTGATGACCTTAAAGAGGAAGAGCCACCAGGGACAAAGGTCATTGAACTTCGTGCTTCAGCCAATCAGGGTGATCAGATTGAATATGAGATTATTGCAGGTGATCCTGACGGTACGTCTGAGTACAGATCTCTCAAGTGTGAAGGCTTGCCCCGATGTGTAGAGTTTGGTTTCTGTATGTTTCTAAACAATTGAAGAAGTATGTTTTTTGTTTGTGACGTCGTACCATATTTGGTTAGTAGAAGGCCAGTCATTTTTGACATTGCGTAATGGTGTGTGCTTGCTGATGAGTCATTTCAAAGAGTTCTTAAACTTTCTTTTGAGTGTAGTTTTGGTCCATCTTCACTTAAAGAGCACTTACATACTGTACATTGCAATTAAAGGTTAACCTGTGAATGGGACAGTCTGTTCCCACTTTTTCTCTTCTTATTGAATTTATTTTCATTTCACAAAACAGGAAAAACTTTTCCGAAAGTGGAAACAGATTTTCGTAGATTTTCCTACAGGTGGAAAAAAACGGAAAAGTTTTTCCACGGATTTTCCCACTTTTTTAACAAATCATTTCCCCCCCTTGTGAAATGTGAGTGTAAATATGAAAAAAGGGTGAATTCTTTCCACAGAATTTCCCCTCCCAATTCACAGAGTTAAGATTATTAAGTGACAGTGTACTGTACATATACGAGTTTCAAAGGCACTTGCCTGCTTAGCTACAGCAAAGTGGATGAAACTCCCAATTGTTGCTCGAGTAGTCCCCACTTACGCAAGGATTGCGTGCATTCCATGTTACTTGGTAGTTGTTAATCCAGGCTTGTCCCTTGAGCTGGGACTGTTAAAATGATAAGGAAAACTAAATTCTTAGATGAACTAAAGTTCCTAGACTAAAATTACATCCAACGGAATGTATCTCGTAGTTTGTCATTTTCCTTAAACCTCAAAACTTTAAACTCGCAAACAGGCAAATTTGAGTTGGTGTCCCAGGAGAATATTGGGACAATCCAAACGCTGAAGGTGTTAGACAGGGAGAATGTGAGCAGCTACTCCCTGATGGTACGAGCCAGCGTGGTGGAGGCTACTACTGGAGGAGGAAATCGGAGAAAGAGAAGACAAGCCGGTAAGTTGCCGTGGCAACTAAACTGATGCGGATGAGGAATTGATGGATGGGTTTGCTGTCATCTAGGAATTTCAAGAAGCACGTAGAGCTTCATTGGACAAGTTCAGTTGCATTTCACTGGGCATTGTTGATGGTTCCCTTGAATGACCAAAAGCATTGGGTTTGGTCTAAGGGAGTCAGGTTGGCAAGGTAGTTCTTTCCTCGCCTTCCACCCCTGTGGTCCCGGGTTCGATTCCCGGCCCGATCCACATGTGGATTGGGTTTTCAGTCCCTACCTGACTCCGTGGGTTTTACCCAGAATATTCCTCTGGGGTTTTCCTCCCACCTCTAAAGCTGTAACTGCTTCTTACTGTCTCCCCTTTACTGTTGGTGAATGTGGGTCGTTTGGCGGCTGCCCGAGGCGCTCTTGTAGGCCATCGGCTCAGCCATGTTTAAATGTATTCTTTGTACAGCACATTTGAACATATCTGTATAAAATTTGCGCTTTATAAATGAATAAATTATTATTGATTATTATAATTTATTATTGATTATTGTTTATTATTATTATTATGTCTTGTACATGGAGTGATTTTCATGGAACAGCAGCTGTGTACGATGGTTGTTGCATTGCTGCAAATATGGTGATAGCAGTTGACATGGTCACCAGATTCATCTCTGTGTTAAATCATATTCTCCGTGTGTGGAGACGTAACAGCAAGTTTTACTGGTTGATTTCAGATACCAATGTCGTAGAAGTGGTGATAGACCTGGTAGATATCAACGACAACGTGCCGGCTTTTGAGAAGACTGCTTACTTTGTCGGAGTGTCCGATTCGGCGGGCATTGGCACAACAGTGATTACCATGAAGGTGAGTGCGATCGAAACAAACCTCACTGCCATCGCTGGACCCTGGCTTCAGCATCAGTGATGCAGTGGGATCTCTTCAGCAAAAGGGATTTGATCGCAAAGCCTAATGTCAGGCGAGCTTTAATAAGCACAGTTTATTTCACATTATGTCAATCACTCGTGTATCAGATTGCTATGATGAGCATTGTCACCAGTGCAGTGTGGTAAATCTCTGTCTTTAGATTTACTGAAGTCGCCGTCAGCAGCATACACTGATAGAAAAATCGAATCAAGTTTACTTCTTTCTCTGGTTCAGGCCATCGATCAAGACGGCGGCAACAACAGTGTGATAGATTATTCCATGCAAGCCAAGCCAGCCTCATCCGACAACCAGGTGAATAAGCCTGCAGCGGATAGCTTTACCATCGACGCCTCCACGGGAGTCATCAAGACAGCTGTGGCAGAGTTGGCTGCTGAGCCCAGGACCTTTACCTACTCCGTCTTCGGTCGAGAACGATTGGGCCCTCCAGAGAACGCCGCAAACACCACTGTCACGGTACAATATTTATACTCATTTCCGTCCAGATCCAAATCTGCTTCCAGATTCAAATTTATTTTGGAGGAGAGTGGGGTTAACAAAGCTTATTTTTTTGGGGGGGGGAAACATTTGGCAATTTCTATATGTAACCTTGAATGACCTTTCAGGGATGAGGCTAAATATTAAAGTTTTCACCCTTTTTTGGAAGGAGGGGAAGTGAATTAGTCCCCAAGATTGCCTTTTTCTTAGTATTTTTTGTAAAGAAAAAAAATGCTCTTTCTTGGTTGGGGGGCATGGTCCTTGTGGGGCTCCCCGGATCTGCTAGTGTGTCTTCCATTGATGGGTTTGAAGTTGCCAATAAGTGAGTATGAAATTCAAAGTACAGGAAATTTTGATTGTAAAGGTTGTGGAACATCCAAACTCTTCTACTAAGGGAAAAGAAGAGAAGATTTACCTTTGATGGTTACTTACAGTACACTGTAGTTGAAAGTTAACACTGCCGTGAATCAGAATGGGGAATTTTGTGATAAGAACTCGCGTTCACATTCACATTAATAAGAACATTGTCTCACTTGTGTGGAAAGATTTTAAAATGTTTTCCAACTGTGAGAAATTGTTTTCACATTTTTTCTAACGAAAACAATTCCCTGGGAAGAGAGAAATGTTAAAAAGAAATTCCCATTCCCAGGTCAGCTTTCAAGATACCAATCTAGTAATCCCACCCACTGCATACTTGGGCACTGAGCGCGTACCCTTCTCCAATGCCACACTACATGTTCAAGCAGGGCACGCATCATACGCACATGCATGCAAGTCTGAATTTTGTGCACGCATGTCAGATGTAAATTACAGCTGTGATTGGTCAGAAAACAATGGGGTGGGGCTTCATGGATAGGTCTATTATAATGCACTGTTGGAGGAGTGTACCGGGATTTTAATGCTGACCGTGACTTGTTTTTTGTCGTTCGGTTGTGCAACACAGATTTCCCTCGTCAATGAAGACAACCGTGTTATCCTCGCGACCAGCCTCCCTCCCAGTCTCCTAAGAGAGAACCAAGCACTCCTGGAGGCAGCCCTAGAGGAGCTGCTGGGAGCCGAGGTTGTCATAGAGGATATTGGAGTACGTCTCTATGGCGACAACCTGGAGAAAAGTGACCCCTCAGGGTCAGATGTCCAGTTTTATGCCATCAATGTGAATACAGGAGAGCCGTTTACAACCGACGAGTTAATCCAGTGGGTACAGCTTGTTGGATTCTTATGTGGCAGTCACTTTCGAGTTGCATCACTGCTCTTTCTCTGTGAACACTGTGAATTGAATATAAGAACCAAGCGACTGAGTCTCCTTTGCTAAGATTGTCTTCACTGACATTGGGGAATATCGGTAGACCTGGGGCAAAGATCGATCGCTTATGATTTTTTTTTTCAGTCAGCATTGAAAAATTGTTAATAATGTCTTGGTCATTTCTCCATCATGCCATTTCAACTACAAGCTCTTGCTTCACGTTTATAATTACAAAGAAAAGGTTTTTAGTAGCATGATGTTTTTTGGGGGTTTTTTTGAGTGTGGTTTCAAAAAGAACCAGTTGAATCAAGTGATTCCTTTTAGACCTCAACCGAGTCACGAGAAAGGTATGTGGTGTGCTGAAAACTTTCCTCTCATTACTATGTTCGCTGTGTAAACCGTCAGATTAATTTAACCCCTTCGTGCCGGGACGCGGCTAGACACGCCGTAAAAATTGAGATCTTCAGCCAGCTCTTCAGCTATTATTCTCGGCCCACGCTCGCGCGAACGCGTTGAAAGAAGGCATACCCTGCTCTTGTATATATGGTTATCGGTCTTTGTGTGTAGCCCAGAAGTGAAAAGACCGAATTTGCATCATAATCACCAGCTTCACAATAGTCCCCACTTTGAAAAGAGGCAACGGGAATGTGGAAGCGTGACAGAGCCACATGCCACCGAACAATCAGCCTTTTCACCGTGTAATTCAAAGCGTGCAGAGCACGCAGGGCCACAAACTGAGAATTTGTGGTTTGGCAGGTGGCTTTCGTGGCCAAGCGAGGCTGGAATTCTTGGAGTTGGCCTTCTGGAAGAAATTCCCGGTGCGAAGGGGTTAAACAAAACATTGAAAAATATGAGATATGCTTTTCATATTGATATGCATAAAACCCTCCACTCATTTGATCTGTAGGCTCTTACAAAATGTCAGTCAATTGGACGCCGTCCTCCGAGACATCTCCCCGGATGGCAACGGCAGAGTCATCGAGGTCCGCAAACCCAGGACGGGTCAGCGCCCGGTCACCTCGGATGCTGAGCCCACAGTGGAAGCCATAGCCTTGCTCTGCTTGGCTGTGGCTCTGTTCATCCTGTGCATACTGGCCATCGCCGTCGTCGTCGTGTCCTGGAAGAAGTGAGTATAGCCCCCTCCGTCTGCATTTTTACAGTTGCGTGATTTGGGTCGCACTTGACAATTTCTTGAAGAATCTTTGCCTCAGGTCTGTCAGGATTTGAGCCAGGACCTGAAGCACGTCGTTGAACCTTATGTACCCCGGTTGACCTAGCCTCTGCTCCTATCACAATTCCACTCTGCTGACTGTACCCAGACCCAAGAATAGCTTCAATGAATAGGACCACTATTTCTGACCCCGAATCCTGAAACCTAAATTCTATCCTGTATCAAATTTCTGGATAGTGTTTCATTATTCCCCAAAACTAGCTGCAAATACACCTATTTAGAACTTCATTCTTATGTCTTTCTTCGTCATTGCTTACTCTTGCCGTGAAGTGCCACGAACTAGATGGAATGACACCGTTAAAATCTCATATTATTTTTAGATACGAAGTATTCCAGCTATTTTTAGAATTCCAGATTTTTTTTTGTTAGTAGGAATTGAAAGCACCAGCATTTTAGAACCATTGCAACCACTTTTTTTAACGAGTTAAAATTTATTTACTGATAGAAACAATTTGGACAGTCATTGTTGGAACCAGAACAATCTTTCCCACTTCCTGACCTAAACCCAGGATATGCCACTGGCCGGGCAATACGTAAGCCACGGTTAAGAACTACCATTAATGGTCAAAGTTGAAAGACTTTGTTAAAATGGCTTTTTGGAGCAAAAACAGCATACTTTACTTCATTGTCTCAGTCGTGACTGAAAATGTTTAGGGGGTTTGCATGGCTGCCATCTTACAGGCCAGTGCTTTTGTTCCACTGGATATACACAAAGGAGGTTTCCCTGTGGAACAAAAGGACTGCCCTGCATGATGGCTACCATGCACAAAAGTACAGCCCCCATTGAATGTGTTTACACCCTTAGACAAAGTTCACTTAGTCAGATCTTCACATAATTTGCACCCCTGTAACCAACTTCCGTGAGCTTACATTCAGTGAAGAAGTGTTTAATATCTGTTTCACTACAGAGCACGATTTTTGTACAACCAATATTAATATTGATGCTATCATACCAAAAATATACACCCGCCATTTCCACCATTCGTTTCCTGTCAACCTGAGCCATCAGAAACCCCCTAGAATCTTTCCAGAAATGTCTTCTTTGTCCTTTACTGTGACAAATATACATGTAGTGATGGAGCTTTTCAGAACGCAAGGAACTTTTGTAACCTTGACCCAGCTGCATGATACAGCCAACCAAGAATATTTCTGCTTGCCATTTCTGTTGCACCTGTAGAGTCTACTTTGTAAACAGTGAATCGGAGTCCGATGTTAAATGTTGTCCCATGTGGAAACGATATGTATCTCTTCGAGGCGAGCAAGCGACAGAACCAGGGTACATTAGATTTTGAAGTGGCCCGTTCTGGGGTATGAGAAATTTAACCGTAAATCTAACCGAGTTTGTACTAGTCAATGGGCTAACACCAAGGTGACAGGATTGACTAAGTCGTAACAGTTTAAGTTTGGAAGATGTGCACTAGATGACACCATGTGCGAGTTGTCAATTGTTGCATACAAATACTGACTGCTTGGAGTGGTAAAGAAAACCTAGCCTGTCCACAGGGGATTCATCGATTATTCTATTTTCCCCGGGGGGGGGACAGAGGGAAAATAGAATGTTCCATGGATTGTGGGAGACTCATTTTATTACACCACGAGGTAAAGCAGTCCGTATTTGGTTTGTAACATCTCTCCCACAAAATTCAGCTCCATTTGATAATAACTGATTAATTTGATACATATAAAAGGTACATCTATTTGAACAAGAAATTTGTTGAGAATTCACCACAAAAGTGCCAGCACTTTTCGCAACTACCTCTTCACAAAATGTTTGAACCCAGCTCTGTAGTGCTAGCAATTCGGAATGCGCATGATGTGCTATGCGCACACCAGTATGCAACTATACACAATGTCGTTGGCCACGCAGATAGTTCTTTGGTTGCTTTGGCCGTAAAAAGCAAGATAGCAAAAATAGCGAATGTCTTGTGACCGGCTCTGGGCCAATCAAGATGCAGCATCTGTGGTTGAGATGTTATTATGGAAGATATATGGGGCGGGGCCTGGAAGTACACATGTCCTCCCGTCATGGTTTTCCCAGTTTCTTTGGGTATTTACCAAATGAAAGAGCGACTTTGCTTCAAATTAACACTTGTCATAAAAATAAACGTCCAGAATTGCCCTCAACTGGGCCCTATCGTTCCATAATTCTGCCATTGCTGGAAAACACTTAAACTGATGAGAGGTTTCTGCAGCAGGTGAAACTACCACGCACCCTTAGCACACCCTTGCACCCATCCTGCTAATTGCACTAACCACTTTTAAACGCTGAGCAGCTTCTCAGAGAAATCTCGGTGTAGAATGCTGCAATAACGCTTCTTGGAGTCTGACCTTGATACCTGATCAGTCTTATCGACATACCATACTTATGGTATAATTGTCTTATC